TCTTCCCGCCTCCACGGCAGCACTAAGGATGTCGGACTGATGGCTTAGGCTTGAGGGCTCCCGGACTGCGAGAGGGCGCAGGGGGTTGAGGGACCAACCCGCCCTCTCAACCCTTTCCCAAGTGCACAAATCTCGTGCACCAGGCCTCTAGTAATAAATAAAATAAGCAGTCTCTATTTTCTTGCAATCTTGCTATTCTTACCCAATTCTAGCCTTTAAAAAATAAGTCTTTTGTTAAGAAGGGAAAACAGTTTATTTCCCCTTGACCTCTATCATTTAATCCCCAGAGACCCTTAGAAGTAGGTGTCCATTTGCCTATCTTATGGCAGTGTCTTTTGTGATTTAATCATGACATTGAGATTTTTAACCTGAAAGTTAGGGGTGGGCAAATTTTTTGACTCGAGGGCCACAATGGGTTCTTAAACTGGACCGGAGGGCTGGAACAAAGGCATGGATGGAGTGTTTATGTGAACTAATATAAATTCAAAGTAAACATCATTACATAAAAGGGTACGGTCTTTTTTTTTTTTAGTTTTATTCATTTCAAACGGGCCGGATCCGGCCCGAGGGTCGTAGTTTGCCCACGGCTGGGTTAGATGATCAGATTAAAGGGCTCATGAAAGTTATACCATGGTATTAATGCTATATTTTATGATTTTCTCAGCTTTGCAGATGAAAATTTGATTTTGCGCGGAGCACCTGTAGGAGAATACCCTAAGAAACAATAAACCCAGAATGTATGAACAAATTAGAATAACAATTTATAGTGAAGAGTGTTGCTTCCTCTTATTTTCTGATAAACATGTTTTCTCCCTGTAGGGAACTGTGCTACTATGGGAAAATTATTCTAACTACTATTTAGTTGTCATAAGGTTTTTTGACAAGCCTGGAATTAGCACTTTCAAAGACCTAATGATTGATGTTATCAAGTAATGGTAACCTGGAAGCTTGCACAGGCACAACCTTTATAATGATATTTGTACCAGTGTAGATCTTAGAGACACATTCTCCTGAGCTACATGAATACTACCACATTAGGGAATCATTAGACTCTCTGGTGCTCTCATTGTTTAGATGAATCTCTTTAGTTAGCCCATTTTTTAAAATACGTAATACTCTGTTGATTGATGTTTTCTTGTATTGCAGCCCTAGCTGCACATAGGATCTGCCTGGGTCACTTTAAAAATATATATTACCAAGGATCTACCCAAAACTATTAATTACAGTTATCTCAGAGTGGGATGCTGGCATCAGTATTTTTTGTCCTGTTTTGTTTGTGTGTTTGCTTTCTTGTTTTTGTGGGGTTGGGGTGGGGGGCAAGAAGGGGCTGTGTAAGTTAGGTGCAGCCATGGTTGAGAACCACTGAGCTGTAAAGCCACACTCTCCTGTCAAGTACCTGTGTTAAGGTAACTTCTGCAGGTATCCTTTCTTACTTTGTTTTGCCATGCATATATGTAGATTTACATTAACTGCTTATTTTTTCATTATATTTGTGCTTATGTTTCTATTGCCAACTAATACATGAGTAATTTATTCTTTAATATAGTTAATATATTAATGATCAGAATTGTCTTGTTTATAATGAAACTAGCTGTTTTACTAGATTTTCAGAGCAAATTTGATATATAAGCTGATGATTATCTACAACAGTGGAGTCTTATTAAGTAGAATGTTAATGATTTCTGTGAATAATTACTTACATTAACAATTAATCTGTTTTTAGTTGTTATTACCTATGGCATATATATAATAGACCTAACAAAGCAGTTATGTATACTGCAATTAAAAATACCCATTCCCTGCCCCTTTCTTGCTTCATCCTTTCAACTGGCAAATATGTTCCAGTGGAGCCACAGTAACATTTCAGGCACTCAGTGTTTCTAGAACCTTTTTCTGCTTTCTGGTACAAATCATGTCAGTTTGATATAGTGCCTTAAAATAAAAGTTGTATACCTGAGCTGAAATAAAAAGGATGTACAGTGGGGCCTTGACTTACGAGTGTCCCGACTAACGAGTTTTTCGAGATACGAGCCATCTCTCGGCTGATTTCTTGCTTTGAGTTGCGAGCTAAAATTCGGGTTACAAGCCAGCTTCAGATACCCCACCGCTAGTTGGCGCAGCGAACGTCACAGTGAACGCCACAACATCAGCCCAGCATCACGTGTCTCACTCGTTCACTTTAAGATTTGACATACGAGTAATTTGAGTTACGAGCTCCATCACGGAACGAATTAAACTCGTAAGTCAAGGCCCCACTGTATAATTATTAGCCTAGCAGGAAAGAACATTCTAGGTAGACATCACGCATGGTGTGTGTAGTCAATACAAACAGATTAAAATGTTCCTAGTTCAAAATGGGCAGTGTTTGTTGCTTGTGCTTCCGTATGTTCTCTAGTAGGTATGAACAGGCTGAAGTCTGTACCTACACACCAAACTATGTAAGGGGTAGGAGAGCAAAGATGCTGAGTGTGCATTCCCTTATATAAAATTACAAGAAATAACTAAGATAATATTTTATATAGTTTTCATCTGTGTGTTTTATTCTTAAATCTGACTTGATTTTGTCTTAGAGCAAAAATATTTCTGGTTAAATGTGACTTCTCATTTATAAAGAAATTTAGTACTTCATATAAAATTGGATGTATTGCTGTTGGAGACTGCCATAGCAAAGGTGTCTATTCTCTTATTCTAAGAAGGTTTTGCTCTTGCATTACTCTCTGTGTAGTATTTGGAGATTTTCGGTGTAATATAATTCAGGTTTATACATTATAGACAATGGGGGAAGAAAAAGGAACATCTGTAATACTTTGAACAATAAAGAATTTTTTTTAAGCAAATGCAGTGATTAGTTTACCCCAAAGAACCAAGGTACTTAGTAATCAGTGATTGTTTTTTCCTTTTAGGAGAGAAGTCACAAGTCTTACCGTCCCTTAACAGTATTGACATTTCGCCTAAATTATCTGTTTAGTGAACTGAAACCAATGTCATATCATCTCCTAAATATGATTTTACATGCTGTGGTCACTATAATATTTCTTAAAGTCTGCAAACTTTTTCTGGACAGCAGAAGTAGTGTGATTGCTTCTTTACTCTTTGCAGTACACCCAATACACACAGAAGCAGTAAGTACACTGTAAATTAATATTTATTTCATTATTTTTTATAAAATCTACACTGTGATTATATGGTATATATTTTTAAGAATAATATTTAACCATGACTTTATTGTAGAATCTTAAATTACTGCAATAAGTCCTAACTCCCCACTGCACAGAATCTAACTTTATACTACATAAAATTTTAAAATTTAAAGCAGTTTTTGAAACATAAACATTTATTATTGAAAAACAAGATCTAATCGTTCAGTCTTAGTAATATAATATGTAAATGAATACAATTTTATTCTTTGCTAAATGTTTTATAAATATAAATGTAAAATATTTTTTTAAATTTGGTATTGTTTTCTTTTTAAAGGACAGAAAATAATAAGGCAAATTTAAATAAGGGATGAAAATATATTAAAATATATGCAAACATGAACAGACATCCTAACAAGGGATGATACTCAGTTTCAAGTTGTCTGTTGCCATGTATTTCAAAACTGTGGGCTGTTTGCTATTGCCAATATGTCCATCAGCCCCTACCTACCAAGACATACTTCAAATGATAAATTTTTTGTTGTTAACCTTAAAACTCCAAAATTGCCTCTCAGCAGAGTAAAGAGGACTCTGTTCAATTGCTTTGTTTTGATTCTAAGCAAAAAATTATGTTTAAATTCTGTGTATGTGTTGCAGGGGACTTGTGTCTCCCACTATCTTGAACTTTTTGGAGTGTAGCAGTTTTCCATACATTTACAAAAATGATAGGTTGTTTTAAATTTTAGAGTGAGTTCAGAATATTTTAAAGGGAGAGAGGCTTGGTGTTTTATATTTAAATTTTTAGAATTTAAAAGGACTTTAAAGTTGATTGTCTTTTTAAACTTTAATTTGCTGGCTTATTGTGAGATATAACTCATTGAATTTATGATACTTTTTTTTAGAACACTTATATTTTAAGAAAATATTTAAGAATTCCTTAAATGTTACCATTGAGGGAAGCTGTGTAAAGGGTACATGGGACCTCTACCTACTATTTTTGTAACTTTCTATGTGTTTATAATTACTTCAAAATATTATCCTATATAATAAAAGGCTAGTATGCTAAGTGTCCTCCAACTGGTAGCTATGATGCACACTGACCATGAGGGGGCAGATGCTCAATGCAGGAGCTGCAGTGAGTTGGCAGTGGCAGTTCTTGGGTGATGCACCCTGAAATCAGAAAGGAGGGAGCCAGTTCCTCGCGGGACCGCACAATTCCACTGTCAGCTATGGGTTATGTTGTTGCTGGGGCACTGTCAGCCCCGAATCTGGTTTACTGAACACTTGGGTTTGTGTTCCACACCCTGTATAACAAAAACTTTGCAGAGTGCCCTCTCACACTCTGGGATCCCTCGGGAGATGTCGGAAAGCCAGTTTCGGCCTGATCCCCAAAGGCCAGGCCGAGGGACTCCACTTGCCAGAGGGACCCCATTCACTCCGCAAATGCCCTTCAAGCCACAGTGTCACCCCAGGTGCTGCTGGCTGGGGAGAGACCACAGGAGGTTGGCTCCAGGATGTGTCCAGCCTGTCTCACCCAGTCCCGCCCTGCTGGCCACCTTCTAACTAATTTCCTTTCAATGTGCACGAATCCATGCACTGGGTCACTAGTTACTGATAAAAGGACTTTGGAGTCACTGATAAATTTATTTTTATGGAAGATATACAAATTCACCACATGAGGGCACTCAAAGAATGTCTAAATGAAATTTTCACTTGAAAAGTTGTGGCAATTTAGTTTCTCGTTAGAGTGCTGTTGCTGTTATGTACCTTTAAGTTTTCAAGATGCTCTTCATTAATATGACCCCCTCCCTTCCCTTTATAGGTAACGGGTGTTGTAGGAAGAGCAGAACTTTTGTCATCTATCTTTTTTCTAGCTGCATTTTTGTCTTATACCAAATCTAAAGGACCGAATAATTCCATAGGTAAATGTCTTAACATTCAATTTTTTTCTGTAACTATAAAACTTGATCAGGTAATTTTTATTTACTTTAGTGCTGCTTGTAAAACATATGCCACACTTAGGGCTTATCATTATATATTATTCTACTTTAGCATTATGGATATATGAAAGTATGCAACATTGTTAATATTAAAGTTTCTTGCATGTAGTTTATATTTTCTCATGACTAACAGATTCTTTATGATCTAATTTTTAAAAATTTATTCTAGAATGTAGAAGTTTTAGGATTATTTTTAGTTCTGTCTGTTTTTTCCTATAAATGATATAAGTGTGTACCAATATTTCAGTTGTCTTTCTGTAAATAAATAAACACCTCTGAAGACTGTAAATTATATTATTAGGCAAAGTTAAAAGCCTATTAGAGTGTAACTTTTATTATGTGTTGATCATAATTCAGCAGTTTATTGAGTCCTTACCATGTGGCCTACTCCTGGAAAATGCTTTGTATGCAGTAGCTCATTAGTGCTGATAATGCCTGGCATTGTCAGAAAACAAGTTCCAAGCAATAAAAGTGACTTTTTATGAGTTTGAACACAGTGGCATGAAAGGGGCCTTAATTATAGGATATTGAGGAGAGGGAAGCAGGGTAACAGGTGGTCGGGGTACATAATGTCCTTAATCTGTATTTGATTGTTCTTAAAGTTTAACACTGAGTTTTTTCCTGTATTCTTAGAGAATTTTCTCACTATAGACCCAAAGTACCTATGATAAGAAGCCTAATATTCTGTGTATAGAAACTAAAACTAAGGTTCAGGAAATAAGTGACTTAGTAGAACAGCTTTTATGTCTTCTCAGATTTGTATAAATGAGTTTGCCTCCACTGCTATGCACAATACCTTCTTAAAACAGTTTGAGTGGCAACATAGCATGGAGATTAAGAGCATGGACTCCAGAGTCTAGTTTCACATTCCAGATCCACCATTTGCTACCTCCATTTACTTCTTTGAGTAAATTACTTAACCTCTCTGTGCTTTGGTTTCTTTGTCTGTAAAGTGTAAATAATAACCTTTCTTACCTGTTGTGAGGGTTAGATTGATGCCAGACAGCATCTGAGGAGGCCAAGGGAGGCCTCAATCCAATACCAAGGTCCAGGATCTTATCACGGCCCAATAAAGGATTTGAGAGTGTGATAGGAAGATTTAGCAAAGCACATTAGATTTATTAAAGTGATAGTACCCACTCAAGTGAGAGTTGGGCAACCTCAGAGAACAAGATGCCCCAGTGGGGGTCTGGAAGGTTTTTATTAAATGAGGGCAAGGTGGGCATAGGGTGGCTTGATTTCTGGCACTGGTGGGGTGCCTGCCGAAATGGCTCATCTTCATCCCTCTTCTCCAGGTAGCAATTTCTTTTTTTGGTCCTCCTAATACTGTCATGGCAATTCGGGGGGTAAGGGGAGAGGGCCCCAAAACGGTAATGCAGATTTATGATAAAGATATTACAATGGCCCTATTGGTCACTTTTAGGTCAATAGGCTGCCAAATTTCGGTAAGACCAGTTTTGTTTGTCTTAATTACAGGATATTGAGGAGAGGGAAGCAGGGTAACAGGTGGTCAGTGAAGATTACATCTATGATATTCCAGCCAAGATGGAAAAGGGCGGGGGGGCAGAGCTTGAGGCCTCTGTTCCTTGTTCTCACTTCCCTGCCTCAGGATGAGTTAAACGTGTAAGGCATTTAGTACATGGCTCATAGTAAGCAGTGTACCTGTTTTCCCTATTGGCCTTCATGCAGTCAGAGGTAGTACAGTAACTAATATAGAATTTCCTAAGTAAAGCATGAACAATAAACTTAGAAAATACTGTGACCTACAAGACCACAATCAGGCTCCTGCCTACCTCTTTAACCCTATTTCCTTGCCATTTTGCCCTGCCTACCTTCACTATTACCAAAGAGACCTTTCTCTTCCTCACATAGGTGAAGCACCTGTGTATACTTGCTATTATTCCCTCTTTTTTGAATTTTCGTCCCTTAGATCTTCACATAATTGTCTTATTTAAATTTTTCTTTATATCATCAGGCCTCAGCTCAGCTGTTTCTCTCTTAGGGAAACCTTTCCTAGTCTAACTAAAATAAACTTTCACTTTCAGTCAAACCTCCTTTGTTTCTCAAACATCTCCCATCTTGAACAGTTCGATCTCAACCGGCAAATCTTGCATGCTGATACCTGTATGATCAGTCACGAGTCTCTCAGGCAACAAAGGAGAGAATGCGAGAGTATCAGTCAATTTACCACTATTAACATCTCAGGATATTGTGCTGTGAATATTTTCTTTCTTTTTTTTTTTTTTTTTTTTTTTTTTTGCTTTTGTTGCTACTTATAAAATTTTCATTTTTTACTGTACATTTCATTTCCTTTTTGTTAAATTATCATATCCTTTTTGTTTTTTAAGTGTTTACTTGTAGATTAAACAGTAAATTAGACATCTATGATATATAAGAAAGGTTAAAATGGAATCATTTGGGGGTCTGGATCAGATTAATTCAATTTACATGATTTCTAATGGGAAAAAATGCTTTGGTTTTTGAACAGCCTTCCAGAATTAAGTTTGAGAACCAAGGTTCCACTGTATTATATTTTGTATTCCTCATAATTTTACTTGGTTCTTTTTAATGATTTCCTATCCTGCATAACTCCTGTATCTTCCCTTGTTTCCTTTAGAATTACTTACTTTAAATTCTTGGTCTATCTTTTCAAGTAATTCTGCTTTAGTAGTATATGTTATTATGTTTGTTATCTCTCTTTTACGACTGTTGTATCCTCCAGATATCTACTTATTTTGCCTTGTGAGCTCAAGCCACATGATGTCCTAAAGTTACTGATCACTGTGTCTGTTAAGGAGAAAGGGTCACTCTTTCCATCCTGTCATTCATGAAAACCCAGGGTGGAGAGCTTCAGGTTCCCCAGGGTCTTTGTTGCTCTCTATTGTTGTTACCATTCTACCAAATGCCTCCTCGGTCTCTTAAAAAGAATCAGCATTGAGAGGAGGCCAGTCTACCCTTCTTCTGCATTTAGATGTGAGATGTGTGGAAGTGACTGCTTAGGGGTGGTTGGTCAACTTATACCTTTTTTTTTTTTTTACAACCGTGCTTCCCCTACTTTTCATTTAATATTATAAAATAAATAAATAAAAACATAAAGGACAAGATAAAATACACCTGTATCTCCATACTATTATTTTACAACACTTCCTATATCTTTACTGAAACCATTTAGTCATGACCTACAGACATGGTTCAGTCAGCAATCTTTAATTCCATTCTTCACTGCAGTCACAGCAGAGGTTGAAGCAAATTAGCTCAATATGTATTAAAAATTGAGTCATTTTATGCCAGTATATCTCCAATTCTACTTTTTTCCACTTCTATGACTCAGTACCTAGAATGGAAGCAATTAATGAAACTGCTATGAATTTTAGCAAGAAATATTTCCTTCTGATAATTTTGATAAGTCAAATTGATCTTGAGTTTAAGCATTTATTCAAGAGAGGAATGGGAAATTTAATCTGCCCCATTAACATTTGTCTTTTTTAGCCACGAGGGCAGAATTTGATTTCTTGGGGCCAAAGTGTGTGAGGGTCCCCTCCAGTTGTGAGTTTAATACTTACTGATAATATTCCCCTTATTCCAGCTGATGTTCCCTTCAGATCTGTTGCTGTTGCACATTTGGTTTATCAAACTGTTTGACAAATTTCAGAATGCTAAGACCCTCCCAGTACCACAAAGACACTTTGAGATCCTGCCAGTTAATCAGAGAACAGCTGACAACCAGGGAACAGTCCTATAAGGTTCTGGAGTATTTACTGGAAATTTCCTTTTGGTCTCAGAAAATATCAAACTATCTTATAGACTTGACCTCCTTCCTCTTCCTCCCTTCTTCCACCTCTTCTTCATTTTTATCCTCCACCCAGCCTCCCTCTCCTTCCATCTCCCAAACTTACACCTTTTAAAATAAAATCTACCCTCTAACCCAGCAAGACTTCTGAAATGCTCTGATTTAATCCTGGGGATGCCCACAATCTGCAGATTTCTACAGTAAAAGAGCACAGAAGGATCTACCCAAGACAGTCAGGATTGGCTACAGCAGAAGTTATTAAAGGTGTTTTTTTCCTCTTGTGCTTTAGATTCAGTCCCTCATAGCACCCCACAGACATGTTAGGGAGAACCTTCAGTCCCCAGGAGTTAGTTTTTTTAGGGTTGTTTGTTTTGTTTTTGCTTTTAAATAGCTTAGAAGCCTTAGCTCCTCTCACTTAATTTTTTTCTAGGGTTTTTGCAGAAGAGGCCAACAGGTCAACAGGTTATGCTAGTTTATCACTTGACCAAAACAAAAATCAAATTATGTTGCTTTTTATCCCTTTATCCCGCACTACTCATAAGGGTCATTTCTAACCTGAAAATACATATTTTTCTTTTACTACTTCATTGCTTGTTCTCTCAGAGTAAAATGTAGCATTTATTAAGGTAGATATCTTTATCTCATTTTCTATCTCCATTTCCTAGAGTGGTTCCTGGTACACAGTAGGTATTCAGTATATACAGGTATTTACTGAGGAAATGGTCAAGTGAATAAGTATATTGTATAGTTTTAATATGTTTTTTATTGATTTTAGAGAGAGAGAGGGAGAAACATCAATGATGAGAGAAACATCAACATTGATCTGCTGCCTCCTGCACGCCCCTTGCTGGGGATTGAGCCCACAGCCCGAGCATGTGCCCTGACCAGAATTGAACCAGTGCCTTGGTGCCTGGGTCGATGTTCAATCATTGAGTCACACTGGCTGGCCTAAATATATTGTATTTTAAAATCTAATGGATAAGATGCTAAAACCTGCGTGGACCTCTCTCTGTCCTTTTAAACCCTGTGATACTTCTCACTCCACGTTACATAATTTTACATGTGAGACTATAGAGTTGTGTCATCACCTTTGTGTCCTCCATTCTATCTAATGTATGTTTTCCTATGCAAAGATTTTCATTTCTAAGTTATTTGCACCCCACACCCTTTTTATAAGCATGATCCATCCCAAGGCCTTTGCACTTGCTTTTCCATTACTTTAAGTTTCTGCTTAGTCACCAGTAGCACTACTCATCTTCCCCACTCCTTTTTTTTCCCTTCACCTTCTATTTTTCTCTATAACACTCTGGTCATCAGTCAGCATTTGACAAAATATGTCTTTACTTGTTTGATTTGTTTGTTTGATTGTTATCATGCTCCCTCACAAAATGAATAGATACTTAAAATAACTAGTTGAATACATGACAGCTGAAAGTGTATATCTCTACATATTTGATAACTTACAATTCTTTCTTTTAATGTGTTGTTAACTTACTTAGTAGAGGTACTTGTTTTGGACAGAATCATACATGGTAATTTTGGCTACAGATACCTGGCTGTAAAATTCAAAATGTATCTGTTCATACAGCAATTTAGTCACCGAAGGTTAAAGAACTGAAGTAACTGGTTTTAGTAAAGCTTTTGCCTGTTTTAGAGCTATTAGTTGCTAAGAGCAAATCCAACATTGTGGAAGACAACTGTTTGCTTTCTCTTCCTTGGAGTGGAAATACAAATTAGTAAAAAGTTCTGAATTTAATATTAAAAGAAGCAAGTTAAAGTCATTGGCTCCTTGTTGTGCATTACCTTTTAAAAACTCCAAAATTCTTCCTCAGCTTAAAAATGGGTACAATTACGTCTGCCTTCTTCTGATTTTTGAGACCCAATGAAATACTATATGCTAAACTGGTCTTATAAACTGCTTAATATGTTTTTAAAATATCTGTTTTCAAGGCCATAATTTTCCAGTAATTTTTTATATGTATATGCATCCGGTCATACTATTCTTTATTCCATTCTTTCCTTACTCCTTTATTCATACATACCCGTTTCCCAATTTTTCCATGTCTTATATATTCTTCACAGTCCAAATTTAGGTTCAGCTTGTTTTGTAAATAATTATCTACTGATTTTTTTTCCTTTATGAATTTCTTGTTGAATTTAGCATGATATTTCAGTCCTTGGTATAATTTGTTTACCAATATTTTTTTTTAATATTTTTATTGATTTCAGAAAGGAAGGGAGAGGAAAAGAGAGAAACATCAATGATGAGAGAATCATTGATTGGCTGTCTTTTGCACACCCCCTACTGGGGGCCGAGCCCGCAACCCAGGCATGTGCCCTTGACTGGAATTGAAGCCGGGACCCAACGCTCTATCCACTGAACCAAACCAGCTGGGGGTGTTTACCAATATTGATGGTTTTGGCCTGTATTGTAAAGTATTCTGACAATTTTTTCAAGGAACAAATACTATTATACTTAGTATCCCCAACAGTGTTTTGTTTTTTTTAAGTTGTTTTTACTTTCAGTAATTTTAATCTATAGAATATACATTAAAATTAAAAACAATTTCAAAAATAGATGAATTTCTATATTAAGCCTAAGTCTAAAGAAAATATATTAGATACATGAGTTGTGTTCTTACTTCCTCCTGGTTATAAGTCATTTATTTGAGTTTTTGCTTTGATTAGTATTTTTAATGAGGAAAAAATGAGGTCACACATCATACTACCACTTTTTTTTAACTGGAAAAAATGAAAGTCATATTTCCAGTAAGAAAACTGAAGCTCAGAACAGTTGCCCAGTGTCACAAAGCAAGTTATTAGTAGATCCAGAATTACTCTCACAAGTCATTGTTCTTTAAATTATTACTGAGTAGTAAACATTTACTTAAACTTGATGTCGATTTTTCATTTAAATAGAACTTGTGAATATTTTATTGTGAATTTTTAAAAGAACAGTATTGATTTATATTTTTACTATTAACGTGTTTCAGTTTTTCTAGTCTTTTTAGTAAGAATGGTATTCTCCCTTTCCTAGTAGTTTTTAGTTTCAGGTTTTTAGTAAGTGAAGTATGTTTATATCTGTGTGTTAACTTTAGGTATTTATCTTTATTTGAAATTGATCATTAATCATGACATTCAAGCTTGTAAGTTTCTCTTCTCCAAATTGGCCACCCTACATTTGTTTTAAAAGTTAGTATTTGGTTAGATAATCTTTATCTCCACAAAAACATTTTAGTTTAAATTATATAACTTGATGTTTTATTTTTAATGTTCAAAGCATAAATTACTTATACTGGTACATTTTAAAATATAAAGTGTAAGTCATTGGGAAATAGCACAAATGTGAATATAGAATCACAAGTAAAGTTTTTGAATAATGTCTAATAGTTGTCTAACTTTAAATATCCTTTTGTGATATTATAAAATTTTTGTGTCGTTTTATATTTTTCTGTTCTTAAATTGCAGTATGGACTCCAATTGCATTGACAGTGTTTTTAGTGGCTGTTGCAACATTGTGTAAAGAACAAGGAATAACAGTTGTGGGAATTTGCTGTGTGTATGAAGTATTTATTGCTCAGGGGGTAAGGAGAAATATAAATTTTCTTGATGCTCTCTTTTATCCCATTTGGATCTGATTATAATAAACTTACTTTCTAAATGTATTATTATGCAAATAAATCTGTTGACCAATAATAATAATACCAAATTTTTTCAAGAAACAAGCATGTTTTCCCTCACACCACTGAAAATTATTAACATTTTAGCACCTTCAGCTTTTTAAAGGCTGCTTTTTAAGTTTAAATAATGGAATTGTAGGCAATTTGGAATACTTTACAATAATACTTTACAGTTCCACAAATTGTTCCATATCGATTTTATAATTACAGTCAGTTTCTATTTAATCTTGCATTTAGAAAGTACTACATTGTTGAAAACATTGTTGTACATGGTTATTTATTTAAAACATTTTTTTTCTTTTCCAGTATACTTTACCATTATTATGTACTACTGCTGGACAGTTTCTCCGTGGCAAGAGTAGTATTCCATTTTCTATGCTGCAGACATTAGTAAAACTCATTGTTTTGATGTTCAGTACATTATTACTGGTTGTGATTAGAGTCCAGATTATTCAGTCTCAACTTCCAGTGTTCACCAGGTATGAATTTCTGTGTCGTTGTTATTGTTTTTCCATCCTTTTAAAATTAACTTTGGATTTTAAGTGATTGCAAATATTCCAGAAAGTCTTCAGGGTTGTTTTTTTTTTTTCTCATTGCACCTTTTTTGTTTTATAAATCTTTTGTTTTTTAATTTTATAAACCTTTATTGTTGAAAGTATTACGTATGTCCCCTTTTGCCCCCATTGGCCCCCTCCAGCCTGCCCTCGCCCTCCACCCCAGGCCTTCACCACACAAGTCTTCAGTTTACATTGAGGTTTTTAACAGCTTTCTTAAGTTGTAATTAATTTTTTAAACCTGCATATATTTAAGATGTACAAATTAATAAATTTTGAGATACGTATACACTAATGAAACCAACACAGTCAAGATACAATGACCCTCAAATTGGTTAAGTATGAAGTCTTCTGTATTCTTAATGATTTTTGTCTACTTGTTCTATTAATTATTGAGAGAAGGATGTTAAAAATCTCAGACTATAATTGTAGGTTTGTCTGTTTTCCCTTTCAGTTTAATCTTTGTGTGTGTGTGTGTGTGTGTTTAAAAGCTCTATTAATGTGCATAAATATTTTGGGTTGTAATTTTCTTTTAGTGAATTGATCCCTTTATAATTATTAAATGAGCTTCTTTTAGTCACATAGTTTAACTTTTTCCATCCTGTTACTTTTTAATCCATCTATATTTTTATATTTAAAGTAGATTTCTTGTAGTCTGCATAGAGTTGGGTCTTTCTTTTTTGTTTGGTCAGATTATCTGTCTTTTAAATGAAGTTTTTCAGTTACTTACCTTTAATATGATTATTGATATAATTTGATGTAAATCTACCATCTTGCTCAAGTAGATCTTCTACTTGAGCCTTTTTTGTGTGTCCCATGTCTCTACATGTTTAATGTTCCTGTCCACTAATTTTATCATGTGTCATTTCTTATTCAATTTAGATTAAATGATTTTTCTCCTCATAGATTATATTTTTCAACTTCTTCACGTGCCTGGTAATTTTTTTAATAGATACCATATGTGAAATTTACCTTAATGTTTTTCTATAAATAGCATATACCTTGTTTTATATATATAAAAAGTTTCATCTTCTGGCCTTGCTTTTTTTAAAAAATTGATTTTAGAGAGGAAGGTAGAAGAAGAGAGAAACATCAATGATTGAGAGAGAATCATTGATTGGCTGCCTCCTGCACACCCGACACTGGGGATTAAGCCCACACCCCAAACTGGGGATCAAGCCCACAACCTAGATCAAGCCAAGTCCCAGTCCGTAGGCTGATGCTCTATCCACTGAGACAAACCGTCTAGGGCTGCTCTTTATTTTTTTTTTAAAGGAATAGATGCAGACGTTTTTTAAAATATATTTTTGATTTCAGAGAAGAAGGGAAAGGGAAAGAGAGATAGAAACATCAAGGATGAGAGAGAAACATTGATCAACTGCCTCCTGCATGCCCCACACTGGGGATCAAGCCCGCAACCTGGGCATGTGTTCTTGACCAGAATCAAACCCAGGCCCCTTCAGTCCATAGGCCAATGCTCTGTCCAATGAGTCAGACCAGCCAGGGCTAACCTTGCTTTTTTAAGCTTTGTTTCGTGAGATAACTAGCGTTTCCTTAGGGCTAATATTGCTCCACTTCTGACAAATGACCCTCTGACTACCATATGGACTGTGAATTGTAAGGATTTCCACTCTGGCTGCTGCTGAGAAACTGTTCCCAACTCTGTATGATATTTGGGGATTTTTCTGTCATCCTTTCAGGAGTTACTGTCCTATTTGTATTCGTTTTCCTAGAGCTGCTATAACAAATTACCAGAAATTGGGTGGTTTAAAGCATCAGAAATTATTCTCGCCATGCTGGAGGCCAGAAATCCAAAATCAGGGTATCGGGCCAGAGTGATTTCCTTCTGAGGTCTCTGAGGAAGAATCTGTTCCATTCCTCTTTGCAAGCTTCTGGTGGTTGTTGACAATCTTTGGCATTCCTTGGCATGTTGCTGCATCACTTCAATCTTCTTTACCTGTGTGTTTCTCTGTATTCTCTGCTTCTTGTATAACAATAGCAGTCACTGGATTCATCGTCCAGCCTAATCGAGTATTACCTCATATTAACTAAAAACCCTATTTCCAAATTAAATCACATTCTGGGGTGCTGGGTAGTCATGAATTTGTGAGAGACACGATTCAACCCACGACACTAACCTTGAGTATTTCTTCAAGTTCTCATCAGTATTGAAAACTGGAGAGAGACCCTTTATAGATCTCCTGAGTCTTCTTTCTCAGCACATTTATTCTTGATGATATTCTGCTCACTAACTCTCGATCTCCGGACTCTGCCTGGGTTCTCCCTCACAGCTCCACAGACTAAAAACTCTATCCAGGTACTAAACTCTCCCGGTAAGGCTGTTTTTTTCTCCCAGATATTACTGTCCTTCTTGACTTGATATTCAGTGTGTTTAAAAAAGAAAAGCTTTATAGCCCTAGCAAGTTTGGCTCAGTGGATAGAGCATCGGCCTATGGAACAAAGGGTCCCGCTTGGATTCTGGTCAAGGGCACGTACTTGGTTGCAGGCTCTCCCCAGCCCGGGCCCTTGGTCAGGGCTTGTGCAGGAGGCAACCAATCGATGTGTTTCTCTCACATCCATGTTTCTCTCTGTCTTGCCCTCTCTCTTCCATTCTCCCTAAAAGTCAATGGAAAAATATCCTCAGGTGAGGATTAAAAAAAAAAGGCTTTATATGTTTTGTCCAGTTTTTCAGTTGTTGAAGGCTACAAGCAAAATTTGCACTGAATTTTAATAATCTACATGTCATTTTTTACTGTTGTAACATTTAACATTTTTTTCCATTTCACCTTACTTGGCTAAAATTTAAATGAATTTTATTTATGTGGCTGACATTATAAGCAAGAACTTTTTATTTATTTATTTTAACAAAAGGCCAAAATAGTGTTCTTGTTGCTATCCATGTTAAAGTGCATTGCTTTTCAGAATAAATTTTACTCAGATAATTCTCTTATGTCCAGCACTATCTTTTTCATTAAAGGGTAATTATTTTTTAACTTCTTGAATATTTACCTTCAGGTCTAGCCATGCAAAAGAGAACAACTCATTTAAGTATTAAAGTATGGGAAATAGATTGAATTGTAGATAGATAGTTTATGTTTTCTTCTTCACCCCTTAGTTTCAATGCTTTTATTCCATTTATCATTTATTTTAGAAAATTTGATATCTTGTTTCTAACTCTACAGTATGAAAATGTCTGAATGTATTTGTTTTGTGTGTGTATATATGTGTGGCTGAGTGTATGGGGTATGTTAAATATAAGTATATATTTGTGTGTGTATATGTAAATGTTATTCTGCTATTTTACCCTATGAAGTTGATTATAATATGATTTAATTTGCTTTGATATACTCTCTTTCTCTACAGTTCAATTATTAAATCAGCTATCCTAAATAAGTTGTTCGTTATAATAAATGAACTCTGAATAGTGGATTACAGGAAAAAAACACAGTTTTGTATTCAGTTCTGTTGGTTATTTAAGAATTCAAGCCCTAATTCTCAAGATTTATTACTTTTCATATATTTAGATATTAAAATATTTTTTTAATTTAAATGATAAATTTAAATTTTTAAAAAAATTATTTGTTTAAATATTATCTACTTTTCTCAGTCATTTGAAATTTTTAAGAAGACCAAGTCAAACAAATGGTAGAGGTTGATTTTTCATTAACTTACTCATTTTAAAATGAGAAATTATTTTTTAACAGGACTATATATATTAATAAAGTCAATAAAATTTAGAATATAGCATAAATAAAAGGAAGTCATTATTTGACTTGGTTTTCAAGAAGTAGACTATCTTAATAAAATGTACATTAAATATATCATGGCCTGGGGAAATATAAACTAGGACATAAGCTTATATTAATATACTAGAGGCCTAATGCACGATATTCATGCAAGAGTAGGCCTTCCCCCAGCTGCCGGCACCCAGCTTCCCTCTGGCACCCGTGACCCGGGCTTCCCTGGCAGCCCGACTTCATCCGGAACGTCATCTAGAAGGACGTCTGGTATAATTAGTATATTATGCTTTTATTATTATAGATACTAGGAGAAAAAGTAGAACACAAATAAAATGTTACATAGTCCTATATAGTTAGTACTCTGTGCTGAAAATTTGGTTTTTAGCTTTATAGAAGTCTAAACATACACGAAAAGCTCATAAGTGATATAGTTTCCTCTGCCTATGACAAGAGAAAAACATAGTAATTTTTTCTAGGAGCATAATTTTTTAGCATTTAGTGCTGAAAGAAACTTTCCAGGAGCATTCATACATCACATGCAATAATGAATCTGACCCAACTTTTCTTACTATTTTTAATCAGAAGGTCATAATTTAATGAAAGTGCTTCTATAGTATCATAATATTGTAGTATGCATTTCTGAATGAATTATTCTAATAAAAAAACTAGAAATAGATAACCTTCTTGCCCTTTAATCACATTCCATAAAGATTAGACACTTTAAGTTCTGGCAGAAATCTGAGGTATTCATAAAAAATACTTATGTCTTCTGTTTTATTGCTTTTATTATTTAGTGCTTTAGTTATATATTAATTTTATGTTTAGAAAGTGTTTTAGTTTGAATAACTTTTTTGTTGTTGTTGTTCTTTATACAGGTTTGATAACCCAGCTGCTGTAAGCCCAACTCCTACGAGGCAGCTAACTTTCAACTACCTCCTTCCTGTCAATGCTTGGCTTCTATTAAATCCTTCAGAGCTCTGCTGTGACTGGACCATGGGAACAATACCACTTATAGAGTCATTTCTAGATATTCGAAATGTTGCCACATTTACTTTCTTTTGTCTTTTGGGAGCTTTGGGAGTATTCAGTCTCAGATATCCCAGTGATTCCTCCAAAACTGTTTTAATGGTAAGGAACGTTCTTCATTTTTTTAATTTGTGAACTTATTTTGGGTTATCCTAAAATTATATATCAGAATTTGATATGCAGGCATAATTTGACATGTATTCAGAATGTAAAAAAAATATATATTAATTTTCCTAATTTGGTAGGAACTCTGAAATCATGAGGCATCTCTTTTGGTATCATTTTCTTAAATTTTTTACCTTTTTACACAACTAGATTATACACTTTTTGAAGAAATAGATCATATTGTATGCTTCTTTGTTTTTTTGGCACAGAGAAGAGTGTCATCTAAGATGTGCAGCTAGAAACATATAGCACTTTAATTCTCATTAGCAAGATTATCATTACTCCCTAAGGTATTTCTTACTCTGTTCAGAGAACTCTGGAAGTCTTTTTGTTGTTTTTCTGAAGTCCAGTTCTTTGTAAATTTCTTATTCTGCCCTCACTTCATATATATATAATTGATTTTAGAGAGGAAGGGAGAGGGAGAGAGAGAGATAGAAACATCAATGATGAGAGAGAATCATTGATTGGCTGCCTTCTGCACATCCCCTACTGGGGATCAAGCCTGCAACCCAGGCATCTGCCCTTCACTGGAATTGAACCCGGGACCTTCAGTCCCCAGGCCAACACTCTATCCAGTGAGCCTAGCCAGCTAGGGCTATTCTGCCCTCACTTCTTACTCATAATAGTTCTAATTCCCTTCTTTCAAATTACTGAAGATGATAATAGTCTTTAATTCTTTCATGAGCATTTACTCAAAACTGTTTTTAATAATTTGCAACTATATCTTTTCAATCTGCAGCCACTAGATTTATTGAATAAATAAAAATTTTTTGTTCCAACCTATATACCAGGCAGCATTTGGACACTAATGATATGATAATAAAAAGAAATAGAGAGACCTCATTTCCAGAGAAATTTTATTCTAGAAAAATTTAAAGCCAATTTCTGAGATAAAGAGAAGATTGATAGAATATAGGGTTTAGGGGAAATATTAAATTTACTATTATCTTCGAACCTATTGAGTTTAGGTACCCTTGAAACATCCTAGTGTAGTGAAGATTTTGAATATCACTTTGTACCTAGAGCTCAGAGAAACCTAAGCTACTGATAAAAATTTGATCAGTTGGCATAGAGATAGAAATTGAAACCAGAATGTGGATAAAAAGGCCTGTAGAGAGGTTATTGAGCAGCCTTTCTCAACTGGGGTTTTTTCACATTTCTAAAAGATGATAACTAGCTAGTAGATTCTAGATTCATAGAATGGTTCATTCATACTTACAATGAATGCCTTAGAGCAGCGGTTCTCAACCTGTGGGTCGCAACCCCTTTGGTGGTGGAACGACCCTTTCACAGGGGTCACCTAAGACTGCATATCAGATATTTACATTATGATTCATAACAGTAGCAACATTACAGTTATGAAGTAGCAACGAAAATAATTTTATGGTTGGGTCACAACATGAGGAACTGTATTTAAAGGGCCAGAAGGTTGAGAACCACTGCCTTAGAGTATTTGGTCACAATTCTCTCTCAGAAAATAGCTGAAGGGCCTGAATAAAGTGAAAGAGAAGAAGCCTACTACTAGGTCCTGAAAAATTTCCATCATTTAGAATTGCAGAGGACAACAAACCTAAATAGTAGCTAGACCAAATAAATGGACAGAAGAGTAGGAAAGTTTCAAGAAAGACAGAATGCCGAACACTAACAGTGCTGTCAGGTAGAAAAGTTGGAGTTGGCCTCTTTTAGGTGTGTTAGTTACTTTAGTGAAATTTATTTCTGTGGAGTGATTTGATGAGGAGATGAGGAAGTGAAGATTGCTAGTGTAGATAATCTGTTGGGGTCATTTAATTTAACCGAATATTTCAGAGGATAAAACAAGCTTGGAATTATTGCCTGCCTAAGTAAGAAAAGACTGCCAGTCAGGCAGTGGCTTCAAGCATAGTATTTCTTAAAAGTCTTAGGAAAAAAAGACTAAAAGACTATTGTTTTAAAGGGATATTGTTTATTCTTAAACATATACTAAGCTTATGTTACATGTATGTGACTCATCAGAATATAATGCAAAGTAATGCTGAGGTATAAAAGTAATAGTCTGCTGTCTTGTCTGAAACACACCTTATTAATTTCCAAGATGATGTGGTTACTTATAATCTAAAATAATAAAAGCCTAAGCAACTATCGCAACCGAACGGACGACCGAACAGGCTGTGTGGGCGACTAGGCCGGCAGGGGGGTTAGTGAGGGACAACGAAATGACTGAACAAGCAGGCTGCGTGGGGCAACCAGGACACGGCAGGGGGGTTAGTGAGGGCCGACCAAACAACTGAGCAGCAGGCTGCATGGGGTGGCCAGGCCAGCAGGAGTGCAGTTGGGGGCGACTAGGCCGGCAGGGGGAGGGGGCAGTTAGGGGCGATCAGGCAGGCAGGCAGGCAGGTGAGCAGTTAGGAGCCAGTGGTCCCGCATTGTGAGAAGGATGTCCAACTGCTGGTCCTGAGGACATAAACCGGCAGTTGGACATCACCCGAGGGGTCCTGGGTTGGAGAGGGTGCAGGCTGGGCTGAGGGGGAAGTCCCGTGTCCCCCCCCCCCCCCGCCACTGCACAAATTTTGTGCACCTGGCCTCTAGTAGTAACATAAAAACTGGCTTTTAAAAATAGTTCTTTTTTTTGACCACCAGTACATTTCCAAATTAAATGACAAAATATTTGGATTTGACTCTTGAATGTTCATATATGTTTAGTTTAATAAAATATCTTCTTTTTCTTTGTAGGCGCTTTGTTTAATGGCATTACCATTTATTCCTGCATCGAACCTTTTTTTTCCAGTTGGATTTGTTGTTGCTGAACGAGTATTATATGTTCCTAGCATGGGATTCTGTATTTTGGTAGCCCATGGATGGCACAAAATATCAAACAAAAGGTGAATTTAAATATTAATTTATTTCATGCAACTAACTATAAAAGCAAATGTGATACATTTAAGTATTTAAGTTTATTTTAATTCAGTTTTATAAGTCATACTTTTATACATCTCTATTTTTTATCTTGATAGTCTCATTTTTCTGTAATTCAAGTTAGGAAAGCTCCATAGCACCTACTGCATCTTATGTTCTCCATATTGATATAATTTTATTTTGCAGGCTGAGACATAAACTTTGAGTCAGACCCAAATGAAAACAAGGATATTATTGAAACTAAAGTTAAAAATGACCATTGCCACTTTATATGCAATGAACTAAAATATAATCTTCTTACTTAAGTGAGTCATATATAAAATGTGCAGTTATATATAAAAAGTAGGTTTACAATTGTTCACATGGAAAATAATATAACAATAAATAATACTGGAATAAACTCTGTTTTGTGTACTCACAACTGTGAGTACTATAATTTCATGCTGTCATTACTATCTTCATAACCACCATGTCGTAATTGCCTTAAACTAACAGTTAAGGAACAGAATAGTTAACTGTATGTATACAAGAAATGGGCACTGTCTCTTCTTTCTCACCTCCAGTCACCATTCAGCACATAGAATTCTGACTTCTCTCTGTATCTTCTACTAACACATAATAAATTGCCTCCTGGTAGCTAAATTTGGTCAGTGCTTGTATTTAAAATTTATTTCCCAGGCATCTGTAAAAAGTCTTTCTCTCTTGATTCTCTTTTATATCTTTTTATTTCTGCTCTCTCTTTTCTCTGATTTCTTCTTCCTCTGCCTGCTCTTTAAATATTTATTATTTCTCAGAGTTTTACTGTAGCCATTTTTTTCACACTGCATATTTTCCCTGTATGATCTCTTCTGTGTCTACAATTTTCATTACTATCTACCAAACCTTTTCCCTTAGCTTTGACCCATATATCCTATTATAATCAATATCAATTTTTTAGTGCCTACCATGTATCAGATGCCCTGATACACTGTTTGGATTTATTTTCTCATTTCATTCTTGATACTCCTTAATTCTGTTTTGCACATTTTTAAAATTAAAGATCATACAGGTTACCTGAATTATGCAAGATCACACAGCTAGTAAATAGCAGAGTCTTCAAATGTACATCTGACTATTTCCTATTCCATGTTCTTTCTGATGCATGCACTCATATTCTGGTTAAGTGTGTCTATCAAAATGAAAGAAATTGAACTGTGTTACCAGGGCAAAAACACAGAGTTAAAGAACATTAGTACTAAATGAGATCATAGGGATCATTGAAGTATAATCTTTTTTATAGAGGAATTGAGTCCCAAATAATTAGCCTAAAGTATATAAGTAATGTGCATCTATTTTATAAAGAGTTAAGTTTACTATGACTTTTAATAAACAGTTCTAGTTTTAAAATGTAAAATTATTCCAAGAATGTCATGATAACCTATGGTATATTAATTGTAAGCAGAAATGTTTTTAAATGTAGCCAGTGATAAGATTCACCCTTTTTAAATGCAAGTAAGAATATTCATGTTGTAGGTAATGGTACAAAGGACTCTAAATATAAAAATTCATAATTAAAAGCTGGATTCATCAACTTTTTATTAAATCTAAACAATGCTTTAGAAGTAGAGGTAAATATTGGAGTATTTAATGTAATTGAAGAGTGAAGTGGAAGGTAGTATTCAGATATTTAAGTTTTTGGCATTGGTCCCTCTGAAGTAGGATGATTATTAGAACAATCTCTATTCTTAGAATAAATTCAGGCATGACATTGGGGATATTTAACATATTTCTTCTATTCTAAAAGATAAAATGCTTTGGGTGATAAGAATTTTTTTTGTTTTTTTCTTTTATTCTCTTAAACAGTGTATTTAAAAAGTTATCCTGGGTTTGTCTGTCTTTGGTGGTATTCACTCATGCCTTAAAAACAATCCACAGAAATTGGGATTGGGAGTCTGAATATACGTTGTTTATGTCAGCCTTGAAGGTAAAGTATTATCCAAGAATGACAGGAAAGTATGTCATCAATTACTTTTTATAGCCATGTCTAAGATGCTTTACCTTTACTTTTAATTAGACATTTAACTATCAATATTAATTACTTCACTAAAAAAATATACAAATTTTATATACAAATAGTTCCTGAGGTAAATGTCTGATAGTTTTTCCAGGTTATATACCTGGAACTATGCACATCTTCAACCATTTGAGATAATTCCAATTTTTAAAAATAATGTTTAAAATAACTTAGGTTTTTACCAGTAGTGTTTCTCACATCTTCTCCCGTACTTGGTATTATCAAATTTTTAAATCGTTGACAAACTAGTGGATTTAATGTGTCATTTTAAATTTGATTTTTTTTTTCATTTAGTCTGATGGTCTCTGGCTAAAAAAAAATATAGTTGTTCTTTATATAATATACCTTAACCAGTGCATTGAATAGTACTTACCTGTATGTCCACAACACATATGAATAATTCCTTAAACACTATACAGTCATTAGAAACTCAAATGAGACATGTTTAAATAAGAATACTGTGTTCATTGGTTCTTAAGGTACACATTTTTTAACCTTTTAATACCTGAAATTAGAATAAATCTTATAGTGAAAGGCATCTTACAATTAATTTGTTACCTTGTTTCTTTCTAAATAGTACATAAAATTGATGCCGTGTTAGATTCAATGAAATAACATACATGACCAAAAAAATGGCAATCTACTATGTGGAAGATAACCAACCAATGGTTAAAACATCTGTAATACTTTTAACAATAAAGATTAAATTTTTTAAAATCCTATAGGAAGGATAGGAACTGGCAGAAAGGATTGATACAGCATTCCTATGGATGAACAATATAAATAGGATAAGGTCTTTTTAAAAATCATAAAATTTGTTTTCTATAAAAGTTACAAGCAAAAAATTTTTTTTCAGGTGCTCCCTTGCCAGTGCCTCTCTTCAAATCAGTAAATTCTTAACTTCCTTTTGGCTATTTTAGTACTCTCCATTGCCTAACTTTATTGGATCACTGCCTCATTTCAATAGGCTATGTGACTTCTTGATTTGACATCTATTTAAGGTCAAATGACTGTCCTCTTTACTGCTTAGTAACTCTACTGTCTCCCCTAGCTCAGAAATCTGCAAACAGATAAGACCTCATTTCCATTATTATTAATTCCCCCTTCAGATTACCATTGGAGCCCCATGGTTTTCAGGAACTTTGCTTGTCTTTACTCACAGGACAATGCTCAAAATGACAGCCTCAATCACTGTAGCTAATACCTTGGCTAGCTAGATACCCTCCTCTACCTGCAGTAACACCATGCCCATCTGTAAACTCTGAAAGTACAGATCACTTAGAACTTTAGTCTCGGGGTTCCCTTTCAATAATAGACTACATAAGTCAGTCCAGCCTAAAAGTAAGTAATTAGTGCAATGTTTAAATGTATTCTCATAGTCAAATACCTCTTCTTCCCAAACAATACAAGTAGTAGTTTTTTCAAATAGCACTATGCTTTGATTAAATAAAATTTTTAGTAAAATTCTAATATATAAAATAGATGAACTTAAACTGCTGTGGTTTTAGTATGTTGATGTTGAAAGGAGAGAGAGGGTAAATTGAGTGAAGAAGTGTTCATTGGCTTCTTCCTCATCTCCAGGGCATCTCAGTGGAACACTGTATTCCAATAGTATACTAAATGAATATCTTTGTTAATTGAAGTCATTAATTTTTTTTCTGGGAGAAAATCAAAATGATTTTTTTCCTGTTTAATTGAGATAAAATTGACATAAACTTTTTAAGATATATAACATGTATATATTATGAAATGATTAAAAGTTTAATATATATCATCTTACACATTTACACTTTTTTTTTTCTCTTGATGAAAACCTTTAAGATCTTCTCTCTTACCAATTTCCAAATATACATTACAGTACTGTTGGCTATAGTCTCCATGTTGCACATTACATCCCCCAAACTAACTTACCTTATAATTGGAAGTATGTACCTTTGGACCACCTTCACCCATTTATGGACATCTCCATGGACCGCTCCATTTCTAATAGTATATCAAACAAATAGCTGTGTTAATTGGAGTCATATTTTAATTGTAATTAATTTCTAACTGTATTTGTATGTTTAAGGTAAATAAAAATAATGCCAAATTATGGAATAATGTGGGTCATGCTCTGGAAAATGAAAAGAACTTTGAGAGAGCTTTGAAATACTTTCTACAGGCTACCCATGTTCAGCCAGGTAAGCATTATTAATAAAACGATTTGAATAGTTTATTTTCTTTTTAAAAGCTCGGTTATGTTTGAGGAAAATAGAATCGAGTTTATTTTCAATCTTTATTTCCCGTGATTTGAATACTACCAGTGTTCAATACTGGCTTATGTTGAATTTGATTAATTGTTAGAAATATGTAAGATAAGGAATTTTTATTATTAAATTTATTAGGATGACATTGGTTAATAAAATTATATAGGTTACAAGTGTATATTTCTATATCATCTGTATGTTGCATTGTGTATTTACTACCCAAAGCCAAATCTCCTTCCATCACCGAATATTTGACATCTTTTAGTCATTATTACCTCCCCTCCCTTCCCTCTGGCAACCACTATACTGTTGTCTCTGTTTATGAGTGTTTGTTTGTTTGTCATGTTCATGTGTTGCTTTCAGTTTTGATTTTCTTTTACACATTGGACAGTAAGACAACCCTAAGAAAAAGATGGTTTGTTGCTCTCAGTTTTATATCTCACATATAAGTGAATTTATATGACTCTTGGCTTTTTCTGTCTGACTTATTTTGCTTAGTGTGATACACTCAAGATCCATTGATGTTGTCGCGAATGGCAAATGATTGAGTAGTATTCCACTGTGTATATGTACCGCATCTTTATCCAATCATTTACTGAGGGACACTTTGATTATTTCCATGTCTTAGCCATCATGAATAATGTTGCAGTGAACATAGGGGTGTATATAACTTTACAAATAAATGTTTTCACATTTTTCAGAAGATACCCAAAAAAGGGGTTGTTGGGTCATATAGTAGTTATAGTCTTAATTTCTTGAGGCACCTCCATCCTGTTTTCATAGTGTCTGTACCAATTTACATTCCCAGTGAATGAGGGTTTCTTTTCCCCCACAACCTCTCCAACATAAGTATAGAAGGAAAGTACCACATAATGAAGGCCATATATGACAAACCCTAAACCATTATCATACTCAGTGGTGAGAAACAAAAGCTTTTCCTGCAAGATTAGGAACAAGACAAGGAAATTCATTCTTATCACTGTTATTCAGCATAGTACCATAAATCCAAGCAGAGCAATCAGGCAAGAGAAAGAAAAGGCATCCAAATTGGAATGAAGAAATAAAATTGTCGCTTTTTGCATACATGATTCTTTATATAGAAAACCCTAAAGACTCCACTAAAAAACTATTAGAAACAATAAACAAATACAGTAAATCTGCAGGATACAAAATCAATGCACAAAAATTCATTGCATTCCTATATACTACCTATGAAATTTCAGAAAAGAAAAAAAAATACAATTTATTTTGCAATTCCAACAAAAAGAATGAAATACCTCAGAACAAACCTAGCAAAGGGTGTGGAGGACCTATACACTGATAACTGGAAGACCTTTAAAAACATTGAAGAAAACACCAAAAAATGGAATTTTTTCAAAACATAGTGGAGTTGTTGGTAGAGTAGTAGATGCAAAAGCCTGATAGAAGTGAGTTTAGGACAGTGATGGCGAACCTATGACACGCGTGTCAGAGGTGACACGCGAACTCATATTTTTGGTTGATTTTTCTTTGTTAAATGGCATTTAAAAATATAAAATAAATATCAAAAATATAAATCTTTTTCTTACTATGGTTGCAAATATCAAAAAATTTTTATATGTGACACAGCACCAGAGTTAAGTTAGGGTTTTTCAAAATGCTGACACGCCGAGCTCAAAAGGTTCGCCATCACTGGTTTAGGAGAATGATGGGAAAATAGTTGGAAATAGTTGGTAATGATGATAACTCTGAAACAGTGGTGCTGGGCATGGGGTCAAGAGACCATGGTAGGATGTTTGTTTGTTTTTGTTTTTCATTTTAAGGTGGGAGAGGCAGAGCATGTGTGCAGCTAAATCTATTGAAGTTGGGAAAAGTAATAATTCAAGGTGAGGGAATGAATTACAGGGTCAATGTTCTTGAGTACATGAGAAGAGATAAATAGGATCTGGTGCACAGATTGGGGACTTGATTCAGTTGTGGAACCAATAGTTAACCTTTGGTAACAGGGAAGACTGAGTATATGGACATGGATATGGGCAGGTGAATAGATGACATGCAGGAAGTTTCTGGAAGGTGCCCTTTGTTTGCTGCTATTTTTTCAGTGAAATAAACCACCAGTAGAGAGTGAGGAAGGAGGGGGAAGTGTTGGAGATCTAAGAATAGGAAAAGGTGTGAAGCAGTTTTCTAGGTAGTACTTTACAAACTTTAATGGGCCTAAGAATCACTTGGAGATATTGTTGTTTGTGGTGCTTGTTCTGATAAATGAAGGTTTAGAGTAGAACCTGAAGTTCTGCATTTCTATTAAATTCACAGGTGATGCTTAGCCTGTGGATCACACTTTGAGAAACAAAGGTCTAAGAAAGTGTATAGACTAGGAAAATGTGGTTTAATTGCCAAGCAGCTCTAATACCCTACTTGGGTTAGGAATACTGAAATTAAAATTAAACCAGTTGATGTGGTTGTATGTTTGTTTCCTACTACTTTGCCGCTGTAGTGGTACAGGCATGGAGAATTTGGTTAGCTAGGGTTAGGATTTTGTCCTATGTATTATTAAACAAGAAAGGCATAAGAAGATGATTATATTAATGGGACACAGAATCTAAGATAGTTAAGAAAGGATGTGAGGGAGGGTGAAATAATGGAGGGTGATAGGTTTATAGGCCTGGAAAGTTTTGGTGTCTGAGTAGAATCCAGCTAGAGTATAAATATTTTTCAGTAGGAATACTGTTCGAGTGTGCAGAACTGTTTTTCAGGATATGTATCAAACCTGACCCACACACACAAAATACCATAACTACTTCCCATTCAGAATGATGACCAAAAAGTACCCCCATACACACATTTCTAAATGCTCTTGGAGGCATAGGGAGTGGCAGGAGGTGAAAATCATTGGGAGAAAAGACATCAAGGCCACGTAGTAGAAGATTTTGTCAACGTAAATTTTGAAATCACCAAGAATTTTTACAACCGTGATGATGGAGAGAATGACAAGGAGCCAGGATCCCTGACCCAAACATCGGTGACTACAACAAGGAGGATAGTAGACAATACAATTTAGTGACCTGAAATTTAGAGATGATTGATTTTTAAAAAGGAATAGGAAGGGTCTGGGGTGGTAAGGCTCAAAGAGGACACCTACCCTTCCTCCTGGCCCAGAGCTGCACAGGATAGAAGAACACAGGCACCGCTTGGAAGAGCCACAGTGTCAAGTCTCCAAGGCAAAGCCAAATGTCAGTTAGAGAATGAGGAAGAGAAATTTGTAAAAATATAACTGATGGTCTAGCTACCCAATTGTATCTCCCCTGGCTCTCTATATAGTTTTGTTTTTCTTGAAACATAGGGTACATATCTCGGGTTTCCTCACCTCTGCTTCTTTGAGTCTAAATTCTTCGCTTCTCCCTTCTTTTCAATCCACCTTGTATCACATCCTACCCATCTTTTACAACCCTTTTTACCTGGCGGCTTTTCTAAAAAAAAAAAACAAAAAACCCTGTATTTTGTTAGAAGCAAATATTGCTCATCTTTAAAACTTTTTACAACTTCTGTCTTTCCTGTGATATTTGTAATTTTCTATTTAGTACTATATCATATTTATTTCTGTTTATTTATGAAAAATATTTATCTATTTTAAACTGAGGAACTCCCCAGGGTCAGCGTGAACATTACTCATCTTCATACCCTCTGCATCATCTAGCATGGTCTTATCCACAGTCAATGGTCACTAATTGTAATAGTTTTAATTTATTACTTCATAAAGTCTTCTAGAGTTTTTTGAGAAGCAGAGTTATCTTTGATGTTAGATACACAGGGGACATTGAGACTTAGAAGATGTTATTTAAGCCCCTTCAGCTTTATCTTTCTCATTTCTAAATTGGACAGTTATTCTTTCTCATTGCATTGTTGTAAAGACTAAATTAAATGGTGTAAGTGGATGTTTATGTGCATGTTTAATTCTATTTAGCAAGTAGAGTGCATATTATAGGATGTTGCCAGGTATAGGCACTCAGTTTTAAAATAACTTCCTTTCATTGTCAGTTGTTACTTTTGCTGATTTTGAGGTACTTGCTAAACCTCTCTCCTTTAGTATGATTTCCCTACCATACTCTCAAAATTGTTGTTTATAATAAGCCATGGACTAAGAAAACAGGTAAACCAGTGTATTACAATTTATTATGAAAAAGTACACATACTTAGAAACATTGAATTTGTCATTCAGGGGCTTTTCAGATTAGTCTTTGTTTTCTAGCTATGCTCTTCTTAGATTTGACAAATGAAATGACACATAGGGAGGAGAGTCAGAAGTCCTTTTTTGTCCCTGTTAGATATACTGATAGAGAATTATAATACTGGAGATAAGGGGGAATGGTCAAGGCTAGATATAAACCTTTGGAGTAACAAACATAAAGATGCTATTTAAACCCTAGAACAGTATAGCATTGCATGGAGTAGGAATCTGTAACATTGTAAAGTTAACTTAAAAAAAAAATCAGTCTAAAGCAGTGGTTCTCAACCTTCTGGCCCTTTAAATACAGTTCCTCATGTTGTGACCCAACCATAAAATTATTTTCGTTGCTACTTCATAACTGTAATGTTGCTACTGTTATGAATCGTAATGTAAATATCTGATATGCAGGATGGTCTTAGGCGACCCCTGTGAAAGGGTCATTCGACCTCCAAAGGGGTCGCAACCCACAGGTTGAGAACCGCTGGTCCAAAAGCTTTTCTTTCTTAGCCAGAATGAGAATATAAACTATACAATAGACTTGGACCATGAGATATGCATATCATGTTAAATGAACAACTGTTTGCATTTTTTGTTTTGTTTTGTTTTGTTACAAGTGTTTAAAAAAGATAAAAGTATTGCAAGGATAAAAGTTTTGCAGTTGGAATTACAGTTTCCATAAACACCATTACATGACAAGTATAGATATTTCTCAAGAACCACCAGAATTCTTCAAGGTTTGTTTTTGCCGTAAAATCAATAATTTCGTTTTTATCTAAGTCCAAATCTTTAAAATTGTTTATATTAGAAAAGAATCATGGACCTGTTATTCAACTTGGATGCCATCAAGATGGAAATAAATGACTTTTAAAGAGTTTTTAGGAGTTTCCATATGTTTATAATTTACCTTTATAAATGCATTGACAGACAAGTTTCGAATAGGAAATACTGGGAAGCAACACAGATGCCTCACCCTCAGTGTGGGAATACTCACCTTCATTGTTGGTGGCTGAGGAATCATTAGGCACTGAGCTGCCTGACACTTGCCATTCCTCCTTTACATTGAATTAAAGACAGACTGCTGCTATTGGCCTGGATAGTGCACTCATAATAGCAAGATTGTTCTTTGAAATTTTATAGCTTTTTAGTCATTTAAATGTCACCAAATTTTACATCTTGCTTGCTTTTCTTACCTCCCCCTCCCCCAAATTTAAATGTGTCTTACCAGTAATGCTATTTCTTCCTCTGCAATCCTAAAACTTTGTAACTTATGTCTGTCGTTTTATTAGCTGTATTGGGTAATCCTTTTGATGCTAAAGGCTATCTAATTGTTATCATTTGTTCTTTGAGAAAGTGGGGCTGCTTACTCTAGTGTCTGAAATATTCATTGATGACAATATCTGCTCTCCATAATTCTGAGATCTGATTCTAGTGGGTAGCCATTTTCCTAGTTTTTCATCCAAATAGATAACCTTTTTTTAAGACTGGTTAGAACTGATTTCAGTAACATTTTAAATACTTAGCTGACAATTACATTTTTATTTATCTACACTAATTTTTTCAGGTTTTACATATTCTTAGTTTTGCCTGACTACATTTCTAGTCTCTATAGTAAATGGCGTAAGTTTATCTAATGTTTAAAAAAATTGAGCTACCTAGAAGCAAAGACTACCTATTTTATGTGCACTTGGTAATGCAGTGAATTTCAACCTTGGCTCTACATCAAAATTGCCTTTTAAACGTTTTAAAAACATTTTTGCAGATTCTATTCCTGAAGATTCTATTTGGATAGAGCTGTGTGGGGCTAAGATAAAATTTTTAAAAGCAGGATTGGGAATGGTTGGCCTAAGCATTTTTTTTTTACCCCCGCTTCCTAAGATCCCATAAGATTCAGTAATACATCTAAAAACTAAAATCAACCTCCTTCCCAATCTTGTCCCCTAGTTCTCTAATCAAACCTGTACTGCATCTGACCATTTTGGTGCAGTGCACACAATTGCCAGCCTGAAACATAATGTAATAAGATCTTAGGACTGTTACTCTCCTCCTAGGGGAATGCCTAAGATATATATGCTTGGCCCCTATGTGTCCTGGGAGTTGCAGGCAGAGACCTATTCCACAATTGCAAAATCATCGGTGTCACAGGCAAGTAGTAATCACAATTTGAAACCTTGTCGTGTCTGTTAGAGATTCATGTTGGCTAAAATTTGTCTGATTTAAGATCTCCCTTCTTTCTGTCTTTATTCCAGACCTTTGAAATATTTAATGGGAAATGTATCTTAAACTCTCATATCTTTTTTATTATATTTGCACGTTTTTCTACGCCTGAATAAATTTTCTGAGGATTCAATTTTCTGCATCAGAAAATGAGACAAAATTTTCTGACATTCTGATATTTAAAACTTTCAAAAAGTTTTAAATAAATTATATAGGAATTTATTATTTAAGAGAGATGGGCTGCTGCATATTAAGTAGTAGTATATAATACTAACATTCCATTATACTTGCATTCCAACCACATTTCACAAACATTTTATAAAACAAAGTCATAAACTGTTTTCATATCTCTTTGCCCCTGTCCCACCATGGCATATTTGTTAGTTATAACACTGAAAATAATTCTAGGGATTATGATGATCCTTTTTACTTGTATATCCTTTTTACTTTTAGAGTTAGTTGAGCCACACTTTTTGAGTAAATGCCAAAGCTCTGAGCTTAGGAAATGGAAGCAAGCCTTAGTATAGTATATTAAAATACAGTGAAGAAAAATGATGTACATTTCTTCATTGCCTCTTTTTCTTTCTTCTCATGTCTTAATCCATCAGCGGTACATTCAGATAGTTTTTTCATGTTATATGTGTATTTTCTGTCTTTACAGTACTTTAATAGTTTGCTAATATAACATTGATCATAAATTATAACAAGTTGTATTAGAACTTTGAGGAGGAATGCCTGCTTTTGCATTTTTTGCTATTGTTTTTGTTGCAAGAAACATGTCCTCTTAGTAGTTTACATTGAATTCTATTTCGCATATTTGTCAACAAATAATTTCTTTAAAATTTTAGATGATATTGGTGCCCACATGAATGTAGGAAGAACTTATAAAAATTTAAATAGAACCAAAGAAGCTGAAGAATCTTATATGACGGCCAAGTCACTGATGCCTCAAGTAAGTTATCATTTATTCCTGTTGTGTCATGTCTATTAAATATCCATATTGAATAAAATTATCTAGATGGAAAATCCTTATCTTTCCTTCAATTTATTGATATAAAAGTAAGGTGTCCAATGAATCATCTGTTTAGTATAAGCATAATAAAGGAATAAACTTACTTTTCTAGCTCAATTTTAAAAATTTTTTATATAGTCTAAAAAACTAAATTCATAGTTAATGAATTTTTGATATTTTTTATTACAAGTTATCAATGAGTTAAATTACTTTAGATGAAGAGAATTGTATGTATGTACATTAAGCACTAAATTTAGCATTAGTCCTACCAAAAAAAATAAATGAATAAAACAAATGGATACATCTCTGTTGCTATATTGTGTCCATCAGTTGTTACAATGATACAAGATTCTCTTGATATTTTGGGAAATCTGATCCTGCCCTTGACCTAACTATGCATCATCGGATAAGATGGTTTACCCTGGCTATAGTTTTCTTGATTTTAGTATGTATTAATACATTAATAATAGTAGTAATATTAAAATGAATGGTTAGTTTGATAAATGTTTTAAAAAACAAAATTGGACCACATGATACCTTAAGAATTCATTCCTAAGATTCTAAAGTTAAATTGTGTTCAATGTGGATTTTTATCAGATATAATTCATTCTGCTCATTGAATATTTGGGTCCATATATTATTTATGATAATGTTTATTTAACATGAATAATCAATTAATAAGATAATTTAACTAACTCCACCAGACAAGTGAGGTTTTAGTATAACTATGAAATGTAATTAACTACCTTATTGTCACAACCAGTAAATAAATATTTTGCTGACAACATGAAAGTTGACATGATTTAACAAATACACTAGACAGAGAAAAGAGTCTTAAGTTCTATTTCTGGTCTGACATAAACATACTGATACCTTAACCTGTAAAAGTTCTGATTTATATGACTTCATTCTCTTAAGCTGGCATGAATGAAAAAAATATATTCTTTAGTGCAAGAAGATATTATTTTACATGCTCTGACTATAGATGCTTTCACATTTTTATGACTTATTTTAATATAGTAGCAGTAAAACTAATAGCATTATCTTTTTACATTCTGTGTATATTTTAAATAAGCTACTAGGCTTACTTACTTTTGACTTTTATTTGGTAATGAAATATCAACTTATGGAAATGCCTTTTCTTTTGAACAGATTATTCCTGGTAAAAAATATGCAGCCAGAATTGCCCCTAACCACCTAAATGTTTATATTAATCTGGCCAACCTAATCCGAGCAGATGAGTCCCGTCTAGAAGAAGCTGATCAGCTGTATCGACAAGCGATAAGCATGAGGCCCGACTTCAAACAGGCTTACATTAGCAGGTATTATAGTTCATGTTAAGCTATTGTTATAGAAGATTGAAGCTGCATCTATCTGCATGTTACATTTTGACTATTTTGACTAAATTAGCTTTTTCCCCCTCCACAATCTTAGTTACAACTAACATAGAAACATAGCCCATTTTGGACTAGCAATCAAAATTAAATTGATTTGATTTGAAATTGACAGGGGAGTCCATAACTTATAATAGCAAACTTTAGGTTTTATGTGAAAGAAGCTCCTTAGTTTCATTTGCTTCTTATCACCAAATTTATTTTATGTAAAACACCTAAAACTTACATTTTATAATTAGTACTTTTAATATCTAACTCTCGGAGCTTTCTTAAATAAATGCTGAGAGTTGACTGGTTATTAATGCCTTTACCACAGAGAAACTTTTTAGTTGTCATTAAAAATAAGTTTTTGGTATCACATGTTAACCTACTCATAATTTATGACATTGTTTCTATGTGGAAAATGCATTCAGAATTTAATAAATTTTTGATCTTGAAATTATTAGGAAGCCATCGTTGTTCAGCCTTATTCAGTGCTTTTTTAATTTCTCTAGGTTTAGTGGGGTTGCATCTGTAAATAAAACCTTTCTTGTGTTAAGACATAAAGAATTATTTAACAGTCTCAACATAAAAAGATAACATTTTAGAAAAACACTCATCTAAAATTTCCCTAATAAAGATTATTAATAGGAAAAAAACCTTGTAAAAATCAAGAGTGATAACAAAAAAACAATCTTATTCCAAGCATTCTAGTAACTTTTTGTGTATGTACTTACTATACTATAAGTAGTTGGTTTGTATGAAATGATTAAAAAGGCCAAAGATAAAAAGGTTTCTTTTTTTCCATTTTTTTGTTTATGAAGTTGCTGTTTATTTTTTATTTTTTGCCTGTTTGATATATGTGTGAAACAATGTTGTCCAAAAATAAATGGGAATATTATTTTGCTGAGTTCTAACAACAAAAAAAGAATACTAATAGTCATTCATTTGATTTCATTCCTATGCTGATACTTTAGGAAAGAATATTATAATACATCCACACTTAAATTGATCTTCATATATGTACTTAATCAAAATGATGTTTTAAACTCTCTAACAGGAAATAGAACTATATTAGAAAGATTTATAAAATAGTTTTCAAATTGTGGTCCTCAGTTCCAGCAGTATTTCTCAAAGGTATCTGCAGGTGGCACCAACGCCCCTTCCAGATCAGCTTTTTTAATTCTCCCCCAGCTCCCTTTACCCCCCATCCCCCAACCCCCAATGAATGGTCATTTTATAAGAATACACTGGCCCAGGCCTGTGTGGCTCACTTGGTTGGAATGTCATCCCCTACACCAGCAGTTCTCAACCTGTGGGTCGCGACCCTTTTGGGGGTTGAATGACCCTTTCACAGGTCGCCTAAGACCATTGGAAAACACATATATAATTACATATTGTTTTTGTGATTAATCACTATGCTTTAATTATGTTCAACTTGTAACAATGAAAATACATCCTGCATATCAGATATTTACGATTCATAACAGTAGCAAAATTACAGTTATGAAGTAGCAACGAAAATAATTTTATGGTTGGGGGTCACCACAACATGAGGAACTGTATTAAAGGGTCACGGCATTAGGAAAGTTGAGAACCACTGCCCTACACCAAAAGGTGGCACATTCGATGCTCTGGTCAGGCCCATGCGGGAGGCAGCCGATCCATGTTTCTCTTTCACATCCATGTTTCTCTCTCACCCCCTTTCCTCTCTAAAAAAAAATAAATAAAATAAAAAATGTTTAAAGGATGCGTAGAAGATAAGAAGGGTTAAAATTTTTTTAATGTTCTACTTTTTGGATAGTAAGATTTATAACATATATTAAAATGCCCTATCACTACGTTTTTCTTTTCTTTCTTAAAATGCTATCACCTGGTTTTCTGACAAATTATCTCTCACTCTGGTAGCTATTATTTTTCTGAAGTAATCTAGTCTGCTTCCTTTCAAGTTATATTCAAAGAATATATTTTTCTGTGAATACCTCCCCACATCTTACTCTCTAACGTCAGGCATGCTTTTGTTTTTAAATAATATTTGAAAACATCAAGTCATATTTGCCAAACCTATGACTTCATGTTTAAGGACAGTTCCCAAGAGTTTTTTGGTTTTTTTTACTGTTATTATTATTATTAAACTTATTGGGATAACATTGGTTAATAACATTATATAATTTTCAGATATACTCCATTGTGTGGTTCCCCACCCAAAGTTTAGTTTCCTTCCATCCCTATATATTTAACCCCCTTTACCCACTTCGCCCTTCCCCCCACAACCTCTTCCCCCTCTAGCAACCACCATCCTGTTGTCTGTATCTGTGAGTTTTTTCTGTTTTGTTATTTGTTTATTGCTTTTTGTTTTAATTCTATGTATGAGTGAAATCATACATCTAACTTATTTTATTTGGCATAATACTTTCAAGATTCATCCATGTCATCACAAATGCAATATTTGTTACTTTTTATGGATGAGTAATATATATACATAGATTGTTTTCATGTCTTGGCTATTGTAAATAGAGATGTAGATATCTTTATGGTAAGTTTTTTCATATTTTTTGGGTAAATATCCAGAAGAGGAATTCCTGGATTATATAGTAGTTCTAGTCTTAATTTTTTGAAAAACCGCCATACTGGTTTCCATATGGCTGCACTAATTTACATTCCCACAAACAGTGTATAAGGTTTCCCTTTTCTTCCCACCTCTCCAACGCTTGTTATTTCTTGTCTTTTTATAATAGCCATTCTAACAGGTGTTGAGGTGGTATCTCAGTGATGTTTTGATTTGCCTTTCCCTAATAACTAGTGATGTTGAATAGCTTTTCATACATCTGTTGGCCATCTGTATAGCTAGTTTATTTATTAATAGGATCGTTTTTTGTTAAGTTGTGTAAGTTCTTTATATATATTGTATATTAGCCTCTTTTGGAGATGTTGTTTGCAAATATCTTCTCCCATTCAGTTGATTGCCTTTTTGTTTTGTTGATATTTATTTTGGGTTTTTTTTTTTTCTTTTGCTGTGCAGAAGCTTTTAGTTTGTTGTAGATTCATTCCTTTATTTTTGCTTTTACTTCCCTTAAGTTTAGGGTCTAGTTCACAAACCTTCTGACACCAAGATCCATAAGTTTAGCGCCTATATTTTCTTATATGTATTTTGTTGTTTCAGGGCTTACATTCAAGTCTTTAATCCATTTTGAGTCAGTTTTTGTTTATGATGTAAGATAGTAATCTAGTTTCATTCTTTTGCATGTGGCTCTTCAATTCTCCCAACACCATTTATTGAAGAGACTTTCCTTTCTCCATTGTATATTCTTGGTTCCTTTGTTGAAAATTAGTTATCCATATATGTGTGGTTTATTTCTAGACTGTCAATTCCGTTTCTGCCAGCTCCATGTAATGTTTTTGACTACTGTGGCTTTGTAGTATAGTTTTAAATCAGAGAGTGTGATACCTCTGGCTTTGTTCTTTTTCTCAGTATTGCTTTGGCTAGTCGATTTTGGAAGAAAACTTTAAGAACCTCAGTTAAAAGGATAAAAGAAAGCTGTGAATATATGGAAAAGCTTAAAATGTGTGAAAAATAGTATCTACCAACTGACATGGTAATATTGTAACTAAAGCTTGTGCTTGATTTTTCCACAGAGGAGAATTGCTTTTAAAAATGAATAAACCTTTCAAAGCAAAAGAAGCATATCTTAAAGCACTAGAGTTGGACAGAAATAATGCAGATCTTTGGTACAACTTGGCGATTGTTCAAATTGAGCTTAAAGAACCAAATGAAGCTCTTAAAAACTTTAATCGTGCTTTAGAACTAAATCCAAAACATAAGCTAGCATTATTCAATTCTGGTATATTAATGCAAGAATCAGGTATGTTTTCTCAAAATAGTTCTACATTTAAACACATTGTAATTAGAAATATAATAAAACCTTAATTTAAAATATATTGCCTGTAGCAAATATTTTGTGAATGGATAGTTTGTATCTAAACTGTATAAATGATTTATAAGTAGAATTTTTAACATACTTAAAGTAAACTTCTCAAGGAATATACACTTACATATATGACAAGTCTAATTGTTCTTCTGGTATATATATGTTAAGACTGACTTTTTAGGCAATCTCTTAAGCAATGTCTTATTGATCCTGTCATTTTATGCACGAAAATATAATCTCATATATATATTGTCAAATAATCTGAATTTGTAAAATTTTTACATAATTATTTCTAAGAAGCTAATAGCATTGTATGTTTTAGGAAAAAATATTCTATCTTCTCTTGATTTATAAGACCAAATACTTTTGGTATTATTTTATATCCAGTTTTACTATTTTTGAGATATTGTAATTTCCTGTAATTCCTATGATTTATGAAAACTGTTATGAATTATAATAAATCAGGATTTTTTTATATATGGGGATTTTAGTACTAAGAAAACTGTATGATTTATAATCTTCTATATTTGGAAAATATAGTTACATATTAAGTTAATTCTTTTTAAAACTTTTACAAAAAAAAGAATGAATCATAAAATCCTATTATTTTAGAGCAAGAAGACTTGCAAGTTTACTTTTACCAATCTTCTATAAAGTGGATTAGAAAGTGAGGACCAAATATATATAATAACTACCCTAACTTTATATAGCCTGTAGTAATTAGTCCAAGATAGGAACTTAAGCCTACTGATTTATTTTCAAGTTTTCTTTATTTACCATATTGTCAAATAAAAGAATAGAGGAGGGCTTTAGCCTGGTATTCAAAAAAGTATAAGTTTAGAGAAGAGCTACTATTTTTGTGAAGTTAGCTAACTTTATTTATTTATTTATTTATTTATTTATTTATTATTTTATGGATTTTTTACAGAGAGGAAGGGAGAAGGATAGAAAGTTAGAAACATCGATGAGAGAGAAACATCGATTAGCTGCCTCCTGCACACCCCCTACTGGGAATGTGCTTGCAACCAAGGTACATGCCCTTGACCAGAATCGAACCTGGAACCCTTCAGTCCGCAGGCTGACGCTCTATCCACTGAGCCAAACCGGTTAAGGGGAAGTTAGCTAACTTTAGTAATCATGAAAGGGCCCATTATCCAACACAAGTTTGTACCTTAAGTTTTATAGTTGTAGACCTTGAATTCATTTGTATTTACTTACAATAAAGTTATCTCAATAAATATTTGTTTATTAAATCCAAATATATATTTATAAACTATACTTAATGGTATATTTTTACCTTTGAAATGTCCTAAAAAATTTGAAATAACATACAAAAATCTTAATAAGACAGAAACATTTTGTTACCCAATAATAGTTAATGTTTACTAAGCATTTTTACATGCATCTCATGTAGTTCTAAGAAAATTCATAAGTGAACCCAGAGAAGTCCTATAACTTGTTCAATGTATAAAGTCACAATGTTAACAGAATCAAGATTGATTGCATGTCTGTTGGCAAATCTCATGCCTCTTTCTTTTAATTCTCTATTCTTTCTCTGCTACTCCCAGTTAGCTTCTAAACTGTAAGGAGATATTTTGCGAGCATTTCAGTGTCAAATACACTCTCTCTTTCCTATAAAGACTAAGATTTCCCTTTCTGCTTTTGATTTAGGTACAGCAATTAGTTGTTTTGATGCTCTCTTTTTGTAATCTAGCTAGATAATATATGAAAGTGGCTTTTTTCCTCAAGATTAAATTTATTTGCTAACAATATAATGTTTTTGTGTTGTTGTTTTTTTAAATTACTCATAGGTGAGGTTAAGCTCAGACCTGAAGCTAGAAAACGACTTTTAAGTTATATAAATGAAGAGCCACAAGATGCTAATGGTTATTTCAATCTGGGAATGCTTGCCATGGATGACAAAAAGGACTCTGAAGCAGAGATGTGGATGAAGAAAGCCATAAAATTACAACCTGACTTCAGAAGTGCTTTGTTTAATCTGGCTCTGCTGTATTCTCAGACTGCAAAGGAATTACTGGCTTTGCCAGTTTTAGAAGAGTTACTCAAATACTATCCTGATCATATCAAGGGTCTCATTTTAAAGGGAGACATTCTGATGAATCAAAAGAAAGATATACTTGGAGCAAAAAAATGTTTCGAAAAGATTTTGGAGATGGATCCAAGGAATGTGCAAGGAAAGCACAATCTTTGTGTTGTTTATTTTGAAGAGAAAGACTTGTTAAAAGCTGAAAGATGCCTACTTGAAACATTGGCATTAGCACCACATGAAGAATATATACAGCGCCATTTGAATATAGTAAGGGATAAAATTTCCGCATCTAGTTTAATAGAACAACCAATATTCCCAGTTAGTAAGACTTCAGGAAACAAAATTCCAACTGAAAATGCAAGAGAAATAAGAAGTGAACCCCGACCCACACAGGTAATCAAAACAAGTGATAATAAAAGTTCATCTAAAACCAACAAGCAGTTAGGAAAAGATACAGACAGTGAGACCCCTCACAAAACAACAAAAGAAATAAAAGAAATAGAGAAGAAAAGAGTTGCTGCTTTAAAAAGATTAGAAGAGATTGAACGTATTTTGAATGGTGAATAGCATTACTCTATTATGTGACAGTGGTTTCAAAGAACTTCAGACTATATCAATTGATTGCTTATGGCAACTTTGAAAAATAGCAAGGATTCATAACAGTATCATGAGCTGCCTCTATGTAGAATCAAAATAAGATTTTTATTAAACACCTACCTTACACCAGATTACGTATTCTAAGATACCACATAGTTTTCTGAGTTTTGGTGAATATAGCTGAAATATTAAATTACAGGTGGCTAATTTGTACCTTTTATTATAGAAGGAAGATTCTTCCAGCAGAATAATCATGACTACTATCAATTAAAAATAGTCTGAGGCCTGAATGATAATCCTTTGGGGGCAAATCCAACATTTGCTATTTCATTCTGTGAATTCCCATTTATTACTGAATTTATTTTTCCTTCACCTGTTGAAATTTGTCTATGAATTGAAAACACTTATTGAACACTTATTTTTCCTTTAGTGACTTTCTGTTTAACCAAGGGACTTTGCCTATAAAAGAATACTGGCTTTATGTGTATTCTTTTGTTGATTTTTAGAAGGAATGCTAGATGAAACATTTTAAAATAGGTCATGACATGTGAGATTAAGAATGTATTTTTATAATTGTGTGCTGTCCTTCACTCTAAAATGCAAATTTCAATCAGGTAAAGTTTTAAATATATGTATGTACATACAATACATTTCTAATGGTGCTCATATATACTGTATTTTTATTTTCTTAACATACTGAGAATTTCACAGCATGAACCACATAATCATGATTATCTTTGACTTATATTCCCCAAACTATTCATATTTCTTAGGGTCATAGTCATACTAAGAAGTCTCAAAAACTATAACTTTATTTAAACTTTTGATTTAAAACATGGTAAGTTTCTCTTTCATCTTAAGATGTATTATCTCTCTAGTGTTATTTAAATTTTGTTTCTAAAAACTCAATTATTCTTAGATTTCTTAAGCAACTAAATTGAGTTCTGTTTAACTGAAGGCAAACAATGTGATGTTTATTTTTAAACACTAAGTTCTTAATATCGTGTTATGGTGTATATTTTTATTAAATATTTATTTTGACTACTGAGCTTTCATAAAATTTTTAAAGCTGTTTTAATTCTATTAAGTATGGAAAACAAATTGCTATTGCATTTTCCTATGTGTGCGTGTATTACACTTTAACCAAAATTTCATCATTTTGGCCGCCTGTCCAGCTCTAAAAGATAATTAGCCAATAATTGAATTAATAAATTGATCATTTGGTTTTAGCATATTTGAACCTGAAAACTGTTAAAAGATTAAATACAAAGCAAATTTATTAATTTAAATCTAATATTTTTCTTGACTTAAATGCATTTCAAATGAATTTCGTAATACTTAATAAAGTTGGTGTTGACTTAAAATGTTAATGCTAACATCCTGGGATAGTAGCAAATTCTAATTATGAAGTATTTGAAAAACTATATATTGTTTTTGTCTTCCTTTTTTTGAGATAACATTTCTAATTGCATATTGTTTCAAAAACCATATCCCTGTAACTTTTTAAAAGAAATGTTTTATAAATAGGTCACAAGAAATATGGTTTGTATTAAGGACACACTTGTACTAGCTTCCCTGAGGCTCTCTCCTGGATTACTTTTTAGGCAATGTAAAGCAAGCACTGACACTAATGGTAGTTCATTCTTGATGCAGGAGATTCTGTTATTCATTAAATACCTAATTTCAGTTCTTAAATTATGGCTTTGTGACTCCAGATATATAGTGAGAATACCTCATATGCTATGACTTGAAAAAAGGAAATCTGTGTTATTCTTACCTTCTTTCCACATATCTTGAAAAAAAAAAGCTTCTGGGTTTGATCTCTTTGGGTACAGTAGCAAGTGAGTAGAGTTTAGAAAAGTAGAAGGAAATGTTTCATGACAGCAGACCATAATAAAAGCTTTGAGCAATATTTTAGTAAAGTTATATAACATTCAAAAGATAAAAGATATATTGTTATCCAATGATTTTTGTAGAAAAAAGAATTTCCTCTTTACTAACTCTTAGAACAGTGTCTACCATGTACGAAGTGCTCATATATTTGAATTTTAAATTTATTTAAATCAGATTCAACCTGAAATTAGTAATTTTTCCAAATCAATGTTTTGCAACCCTCACTTTATATTACAATCATCTACAGGGCTCTTAACACATTTCGTACCGCTCAGGAGTTTTCTCGTGTTTCTCGCGCCATCTGTTAAGGACTGCTCACGAGTGTTCTCGTTTTTCACGCCAATGGAAAAAGGAGCGAATCTAGATACTTATGTAAATTTTGTTTGGTCCCTCTTCATAGAGGAAAATGTTTTACGCAGTACCATACGTTAAAAAAGTACTAGGAGCTTTAATTGTTTAATTGTTTTTGTAAATAAAAATGTTATAATTATTGAAAAACAACACCTAAAGTGCATTATGATGATTTAAATAACGTGCAGTTTGCCCAAAAACGTGCGGTCCCTGGCGCATGTCTTAGAGATTTCTATGCGGTACGCAATGTGTTAATATGAATCTACCAACCACAGTTAAATCTGAATTTTTTAGGGTTGGAGCTATTAAGTTTTTCTAAAAGTTCCCCAAGTTATTCTAAGTTGTGGTCAGCGTTAAAGACCACTGATCTAACTTAATTTTTAAAATCCTATTATCTCTTCTGTATTAACTTTTTAAATAAGTAATATAACCCAATTAAGTTGTTAAAAAATATATTTTTTTATTGATTTCAGAAAAGAAGGAGAGAGAAACATCAATGATGAGAGAGAATCATTGATCGGCTGCCTACTGCCCACCCCCACTGGGAATCAAGCCCACAACCCAGGCATGTGCCTTGACCAGGAATTGAACCACAACCTTCTGGTTTATAGGTCGAGGCTCAACCACTGAGACATGCTGGCCATGCTCTCCAATTAAGTTTTGATGTTTTAAGTTCCATTAAGAAATACGCTCTTATAACTAGTACAATATGTCTTCACATAATGTCATCAGTAGCTTCTTGGAAACTGCTACTTTCAGTGAAACAACATATGATGAAACCAGTTTTGCCACAGGCTAATTGATGTAAATAACAGTTACTTTTCTACAGCATATTTCCGGTCATGAAAACTTCACCAAACTTCTAAATAAAGACCCAAAACACTCCTGATAATAAACATTGAAATAAATGAGTTATACATACATTTAGGAAAGATTAATAAAAATAAGTAAGAGAATTAGTTTCCAACCCATTTATACCAGTTCAATGTCAAGGAAGGCTGGAGCTGTTCCCAGCAGCTCAGAGCACAAGGCAGGCACCCATCCTGGACAGAATGCCCTCCCATCACAGGAAACACTACACACCCACACTCAATCAGACTGGGACTATATAGACACTCCAATTAACCTCACGTGCAAAACTGGGAAGTGGGAGGATATTGAGTATCTGGAGAAAACCCAGGCAGACATTGGGAGAACATACAAATTCCACACAGACATGGCCCAAGCTGGGAATTGATTTTTTTTTCCCCTCATCAACATAACATCAAAATGGTGTTGAACAAAATGATTCTTGAGTACTTGCTGTATTTATTCCATCTAAGTTCCATCAAGTTTACTTATGTGTAAAGTGATTATTTCTTCTTTTTATTCATAATAGAAATTGATTCAAGCTCTTTGGGTCAGAAAAAGGGATTGTGTTTTTTCCCCTTGGGGCTGCCCTTTTAGAGGGTAGGGACATTTTAGCCCAGTTCACTAACCTGTGATTCAGAGTTGTGAGCATATATAAGTTTGGAAAAGAAAATTTATAAAAGGTTTGTGTGCTGGTGAAGGATGTAATTTTAGTTCTGTTTTACAAAAGAATCTACTCCCCTTGAGTTCTAGGAAAGCTTTGACAATCCCCAAGGGGTAGTTTGTTAATCCTTCACTGCTTCTCAGAAGGAAAAATAAAGTTTTTCATATATTGTTCCTATATGTGTTTGCTTATGAACATTCAAAATTGGGAACTTTATCTTACAGTTATTTCAGTAAGTAATTTTATGAGGTTGATGGCTTGTAGGACAAAAATATGTTTGCAATTTTGTGTTTACTTTTATGTAAATATTTGGTATGTGACTTGCACAATTTTAATAAAACCATGGCTTTCATTACATCTAATTTGAGGTTTCAACTTCATGTTATAGAATGCTTTAAAGATATTTCAATGGAAAGCATTATGAAAAGATATAGATTTGTATGTCAATTTATACTTAGAAATTCACATATTTGTCATATTTATTTTTATAAAAACCTCTATTTGTCTGCATGACTAAATGGTATTTAAAATGAACCCCTTTAAAATGTCTGGTAACTTTGTCCAAAATTTTATCTATTAGAAACTGTCAGCCATCCATGTTAACAGTTCATAAGAAAGTAATTCAAAATTGTATGCATTTTATATGACTATGGTGTCTGTGTGTACCATATTTCTAAATATTCAGTATTAAATTGATACTTTTTAAAACCTTAACCTGAACTGCCTTTTAGTGTTAAAATGAAAAAGTCAATCTGGCAGATAGTTTTATTAGCAGTCATCTAAGAAAGGCATGTGTTAAATTAGCTCCTAACAATGCTACATTTTTAAAAAATCTTTATTGTTGAAAGTATTACAGGTGTCCCCCTCTTTTTTCCCTTCATTGCCCCCCCTCCACCCAGATCCCACCCCAACCAGGCCTTCACCACCCTATTGTCTGTGTCCATGGGTTATGCATATCCTATATAATAAAGAGGTAATATGCAAAGTAACCCTCACGCCCTCACAAGATGGCTGCCTATGACCCGGTCAGCAGGGGGGTTAGTGAGGGATGACCAAACGACTGAACAGC